GCTGGGGGGCACTGGGAGGGGGAGGTGGGAATACTGGGAGCACTGGGAGTGGGAGTTGGGGACACGGAGCGTTGGGAGGGGGAGTTGGGAGGTACTGGGAAGGGGCACAGGGGGAGCAGGGGGCACTGGGAGCACTGGGAGAACTGGGAGTGGGTGCTGGGAGGCACTGGGAAGGGGCACAGGGCGAGCAGAGGGCACTGGGAGCACTGGGAGTGGGAGTTGAGGGAAGTTAGGGGCACTGGGAGTGGGATTTGAGGGAAGTTGGGGACACTGGGAGCACTGGGAGTGGGATTTGAGGGAAGTTGGGGATATTGGGAGCACTGGGAGAGTGTGCTGGGAGGCACTGGGAAGGGGCACAGAGGGAGCAGGGGGCACCGGGAGCACTGGGAGAGGGATTTGAGGGAAGCTGGGGACACTGGAGGCACTGGGAACACTGGGAGTGGGAGTTGGGAGGCACTGGGAAGGGGCACAGGGGGAGCAGGGGACACTGGGAACACTGGGAGTGGGAGCTGGGGGAAACTGGAATGGGGAGTTGGGGACACAGAGCACTGGGAGGAGGTGCTGGGAGGAGTTGAGGGCACTGGGAGCACTGGGAGAGGGTGCTGCTGGGGGGCACTGGGAGGGGGAGGTGGGAATACTGGGAGCACTGGGAGTGGGAGTTGGGGACACGGAGCGTTGGGAGGGGGAGTTGGGAGGTACTGGGAAGGGGCACAGGGGGAGCAGGGGGCACTGGGAGCACTGGGAGAACTGGGAGTGGGTGCTGGGAGGCACTGGGAAGGGGCACAGGGCGAGCAGAGGGCACTGGGAGCACTGGGAGAACTGGGAGGGGGAGCTGGGAGGCACTGGGAAGGGGCACAGGGGGAGCAGGGGGCACTGGGAGCACTGGGAGAACTGGGAGGGGGAGCTGGGAGGCACTGGGAAGGGGCACAGGGGGAGCAGGGGGCACTGGGAGCACTGGGAGAACTGGGAGGGGGAGCTGGGAGGCACTGGGAAGGGGCACAGGGGGAGCAGGGGGCACTGGGAGCACTGGGAGAACTGGGAGGGGGAGCTGGGAGGCACTGGGAAGGGGCACAGGGGGAGCAGGGGACACTGGGAACACTGGGAGTGGGAGCTGGGGGAAACTGGAATGGGGAGTTGGGGACACAGAGCACTGGGAGGAGGTGCTGGGAGGAGTTGAGGGCACTGGGAGCACTGGGAGAGGGTGCTGGGGGGCACTGGGAGTGCTGGGAGAGAGAACTGGGGGAAGTGGGAAGCACTGGGGCCACTGGGAGGGGGTGATGGAGGGGTAGGGGGGCACTGGGGACAGGAGGAGCACTGGGAGGAGAAGCTGGGGACAATGGGGGCACTGGGAGGACTGGAAGCAATGGGAGTGGGAGTTGGGGGACACTGGGAGGCACTGGGAACACTGGGAGTGGGAGTTGGGAGGCACTGGGAAGGGGCACAGGGGGGGCAGGGGGCACTGGGAGAGGGATTTGAGGGATGTTGGAGACACTGGGAGCACTGGGAGAGGGTGCTGAGGGGTACTGGGGGT